AAATACATAAATAAAAACAAACTAGGGTTAACGCGGTGGGCGTTTGATACCGTAAAATTCGTTCAACTACACGTTTTATTTTCTCGATTTTATTTTCATAGGCATAATTCATAAAAAAACCAATATGGAAAATCAAAGAAAACAGAGGACCTATATTATAGATCTTCCTAACGAAGATGTTAGTTTGCTCTTCCCTTTTGAAATAACTATTTACAAAATGTATTATGGAATTATCAAAATGTGCAGTTTTAAAGAAATTTGAACGAAATAGTCAATTATAGCAGCATAGAATAATCTCTTGATATTCTTGTGTTAAATTATATTAAAACATTTAATAAGAATGTTTAACAATACAATTTAGAATTCATTTTTTGATATTGTCTGTCGATTTCAGTCCATGGAAATCGATACATGCTATTAATATCAAAGTATTTGTTATGTTGTGTGGAATACATTGATGGCATGTTTTTATTCTAATTAGAAATGCTCTTGTTAACGAAGATGGCAATCTTTTTTATAATTTCGCCATATTTATACGTAGTGAAAAATGGCTTAGCATATTTTTTATCGTCTACTTCTGTCAGCCTCGTATTACCGCTGGCTTGGTGAAAGGTTGTATACAATGTGGGGAAGTTTGATATAAGTTATATACAGATATAAGATATAATAGAGATTAGTTTTATAGTTTAGATTCATGGTGCTCTTGACGCCCTTTTGAATTGTTATCCACATTACTTGTTTACGTGAGCAAGCAGAAATAGAAAAACATATCATATCATATAATTAACAATAATTCTATATACAGATTAGTTATATCGATATTTGTTGTCAATCAATTAAGTTTAATTATATAACTCATAAAATATTTCTTTGGTGATAGAATAGTCGAGCTATATATGAACAGACTACTTTATTAGACGTATGCTACAATTTCAATTAAGTTATTTTATAAAGAATGATTTATCTTATAAAATGAATTACACAGTTTGTTTTTCTGCATTATGTTTTTTGCATTATGAAGAAAAATGAAAACAGAACTTTTCAATATCAAAATGTAGACTCTAACAATGAGAAGCAGAACGAGAACAGAGACGGAATAAAGCGGGACACACATATAAACAATTTATATTTATGGAAGACGATCGGATAATAAAATTCGTTATTTTGGACCGGTTACTTTATGAAGTGATTTATACTTGCACAACTATACCGTACATGGTAATATAGTATAAAAATTACCGCCAGTGCATATAATCTGCTTAAAAGTAAATTTCGTGATAACGACCACCAACAAACAGTAATTTTATTTCTTTGTTTTAACGAAAACATTTTACTGTTATTGTCCCTCCTCGTTATAATAAACACACATTTATAAGTATTCGTTTACTGTTATTGTCCCTCCTCGTTATAACAAAGACATATTTAAATATTCGTTTCTATTTAGATTCGGTCGTTGTCACTTCAACTTATGGCCTTCAGTGCCTGAAATGAAAACCTGCTCACGGCGCCTTTGATCGCTGGTAACTGTGTTTGATGGAATATATCATACCGGGAGCCAGATCTAATGCTGTAACGACCTAATATCTAATGCTGTAACAACCTAATATCTAATGCTGTAACGACCTAATATCTAATGCTGTAACGACCTAATATCTAGTGCTGTAACGACCTAATATCTAATGCTGTAACGACCTAATATCTAATGCTGTAACGACCTAATATCTAATGCTGTAACGACCTAATATCTAATGCTGTAACGACCTAATATCTAATGCTGTAACGACCTAATATCTAATGCTGTAACGACCTAATATCTAATGCTGTAACGACCTAATATCTAATGCTGTAACGACCTAATATCTAATGCTGTAACGACCTAATATCTAATGCTGTAACGACCTAATATCTAATGCTGTAACGACCTAATATCTAATGCTGTAACGACCTAATATCTAATGCTGTAACGACCTAATATCTAATGCTGTAACGACCTAATATCTAATGCTGTAACGACCTACCCTTTCCGCCATTATTTGTAGTGGTTTACGATACCTCATTTTTAATTCCTTGGTTCCTGTGGTTGTTTTGACTCCGTTAAAATGCTTTATAATATTGTTGAATATAATATTTAAACACCGGGACTTTGATTTTTTTTCTCTCTCCATTTTCAGCAAAATACGAAGGACTGACTGATTAGTTTTGCCATTCTCTGCATTATGTCTTTTTTTCAATATCTACAATGTTTACAGCAAATTTACAAAATGTCTATAAACATTGCAGATGAAGGCCACATGCACCAGTACTACAAAGAATACAAAAAAACCCTCGTCAATCCTATTTTGACAAGAAGTATCTTAAGACACCTCTGAAACGGTGCTTCATGTCTTCATATTTCTGGTGAACATTTTATGTCACAAGGTGTTAAAATGTACACGCTGTTGTTTGACTATGTTGGCGATTCTTTTCGTAAGTGCATCAATCTCCTCAAATCGACTGGTGAAAATAACAATTTTTAGGCACCGCAGCTGAGTTCACTATACATGTTTCGTACGAATTTTGTTACAATACCGTAGGAGTCCATTTTCAACACTCAGTTAAACTAAGGTTCTTAAGACAAATCTTCTTGACCCATCGCGGAATAATCATAGAGCAATGTGCGAAACCGTTCAATGATTGAAAACATTCCTGTCAAATCGTACAATATTCTTGCAACCAATCGACTTGGCCAAACCTACATTAAGTTCTATTTAAGCATTAGCATTGTTGATATTCTGCCTTAGTTTCAGCAATTTAAAGTTAAAAAACTAGTTGCCTTTTCGTACCCTTTTCTGTGTTTTAGATGTTGTTTCTGTAGACTAACCAAGGTGTCAAATAGTATAGGTTGTTTTAATCAAACAATCCGCTAGGCAAGTCGTACAACATTCTTTTGGGTAATCATCAAGAACATATCGACGATTTGACACGTGTGGACTGATAGTAGCAGATATGACTTGATACACTATCTTGTAATTGTACACTTCAAATCGCTAGGATCTTTATTAATGTGCAAAATGACGTTAATGTTTCATATCGACTATATGATGGCCAGGATGAAACTGGTACAGATATACGTTATGTGGATTTATCTGTTTATTTTGATTGTCATAGATAGGAACAGGCATTTAAATCGTACACAAACATTGCCTGACACAAAAAGGTTGTTGAAATATAATAAAGGAGGTTGACATTATGATATACCCACCCAGTGATTACTAGATCTAAGTTGATACTTCGTACAATCACCGTACCATTCTTGATCAAATTTAGAGGTAAAAAATCGGACAGATTATCTGAGCCTGTCCTAATCTTACACGCTACTCCTTCACTAACCAATGCAGAGATTTGAACAGTCACCGTCTCCAAATTCACCTAGCTTAATATTCCCTATCATATTTCTCCCCACTTTTCAACAATAGCGTTTAAGGCATCTACAAAGAGAACGCCATTTGTCATGTCGCAGCTCTGGGTAAAGAAAAGCGTTGTATTTATCGACACAATAAGAAGTTTCGTCTATCTGGGTATAAATTTTATTATCTGATAACCTGTCGCAATAAACTTAAAGGTTTAGTAAGAGTGCCATATTTGTAATCATTTTGTTAAGAATGGGAGGTATAATGGGGAAGGTGTCCGATTTCACCCTGTGTCACACATAGTTATTTTTTAAAATTTATTTGTAGCCAAAAAACCACATTGTCAACAGGTAACATTTATAGTCATAATTGAAGTCATACGCTAACACGTTACAGGACATATGGCCTGTGTGATACCACATACTGTGTGGCCAGAACGCTTCGTAAATGGTTATATTTATGTGTAGGGAAATGACACAATAAACTGAAGATAAAGAAGTATGTCCTTTCATTTTTTATTCATTTAAAATTTCAATTGAGTGTGATATTTCGGGATATAAAGAGTAGAATTAAAGGATGGTTTACGATCAATGCACAAGTATGCAGCGTATACCCCGAGTGTCATAAATAAGGTCTCGTTACAAATCACGTAAAGGACTCTAGCCTCTCAATGTCAGTCCCTTGATGTACGTCACAGCATAAAACGTCCAATACAGAGTCCAAACAGTGATGTACGAGACGTGGTTTTAGTCCTAACATTTCATCAAAACATAAATATGCAAACTGATTAAAAATAAAGATGTATTTGTTTCTGGAATTTTCGAAATTCCATTTATGACATTTGCATCAGTAGTATGTTAACAACAAAAGCTATTTTTCCGTTTCAACAAATTCGTTTATGTTAACAATAAGATAATACGACAAAGCCGATACAAGCCTTCACATATATATATTTTTTTTTCGTTTTATAATGCCATATGCTATGTTGATTTCTTTATCGAGTAAATCCGAGGTGATCGGAGTCCATTTCATTAAACTTTCCCTGATGTCGGCACGCTTCAAACGGTACTATCCATGAGCAAGTCCATGGTACAACTTATATACTGAATACGCCTCGCTAGGGCGTAAATTTGAATGACGTTGACTTGTAGATAATCTTTTTATTATGAACGTTTTCACTTTGTAAGCCTTTGTAAATAGGTCGTCGTAGATGAACAACAATGTGTGTCTAACGACAGCTTGGCTAGCCCTTTACAACATACATACTGTCATGTACGATCATTTCGCAGAGTAAAATATTCGAGAGAGAATCGTTTCGTAAACAGCCACAACACGTGCTTATTTTACTGTACAGTTATATAATTGAACATTCAGATGGGAAATTGATCAGAGAGACATGTAGTAATCAGCAGTGTTTCACAATAGTTGTTGAGATTGTCAATATCTCAATGAAGTGGTATATGATTTATTGTATATAATGTACTGTATTAAGGCGTTAGATTAGGACCATCATGTAGCTGGTCTTGTGTAAAGAATGAAAGCATCACAAAATCCCAATTTAATAAATGAGACTTTTGAAATAAGAACTTGAAGATACCGATATACATTTTAATTTTATTCATAACTAATATCTAAAGATAATTTCGTGACACACAGAAATCACCTTTGTTCGGTTGTAAATGCATGTGAGATAATGAAAAAAGGGATAAAAATCAAATGCGATATTTAAGCACTTTATAATTTATATATAACGTGTACATCCGCCATTGTTGTGACGGACATAAGAGACTAGTAAGAAGCCAGACCATTAACATCATCTTTGTAAATGCGCATATGTTAATATATCAAACATGACGACCGTCATTGTTGTAGTTTGTTGTAGTACGTTTCAGGTTAACATTTGCGCAGTAGCAATGTTTTGTACACCTTAATCAGTATAAATGAATATTTCTGCAGAGGAAAATCATCTGTCAAACGGAATTGTTGCATCAGTTTGTGAGTTGGGGTTGTTTTTCACCGACAGTTTCCGTACCAATTCATTGTCTATACATACAATAGCGAGCACTGTAATATTACTATCAAATGTAACTCATTCAGTGCAAGGAATGTTTGTTTACGACGGTGTAGAATAGCTAACTCATAAACATTTCCTAATCTGACCCACATCATTATTCTCCTGATGTCATCATTGACGTATGCCATTTAATCACATTGTCATTATATTTTATAAATATTACATAATTTTCTCAACTTCTGTTTTCAGAATAAATCGGGGGAGGTGTGGAGATATGGTTAACATGTTGTTGTAGGCCATGGATAAACATCCTAGGCAATGTAGGGCGCTGAGGAGTCATGGAACTCTCACCATGGCGATAGTACAAAGCGTCAATATTAGAGATGATTCCGGACGCTTGAGGATGGTATGTAAACCAGTAGGGGTTGGTCTGCAGCAGACGCTGGACGGCCGCGTAGTTACCCGCCTCCGCCAGTAGCTCTAAGCCGACGGCAGTCTGTCGCTTCCACTTAGTCCTGTAACATAACACACGGCATAAGTCAGAGGCTAAAATATATTTAGACAGAGTAGACATCGGTACTGCAAGGCGTGAATAGAAATATTTTTTAGGGTGACATTTCTATGAAGTTAAAAAAATCTAAAATCATGAGGTTGTTTTGTTATTTCTGTGTTCATTGATGAAAGCAATTATTTCAATTAAAAAAAATTCACAATACAATCAATAATTTATTGATAAAGCTAAGTCGAAAATCAAATCCGAACACATTTGTTCTTCCGTTTAATTATTTATATATCAATAGCAGTGTAGTTCTCTATAAATACAAACGTTTTTTAAGATACAATTCATGATTACGTTTTATCAGCATGTCACCTTTTTATTAACTAACATGTACATATTGGACTTTCCGCTTTTTTCGGAAGATTTCCCCCCCCCCTCCCCCCCTTGAAACAGGGCTATCCTTGACCGAAAGGCACCCTTAGTACATTGATAATTTTTGACAAAATAGTGCACCAGATTTGGTAGGCATGCTCTCCCTGATTATTATATTATATCTAACCCAATATTATGGCGTTTGTTGAGTACTACCTTAAATGTGTGGGTCTTACTGGGATTGGTGTTTAACTCAATCTTGTCCGTATTGATTTGTTTTATATAGTATTATGAATGTACATAATACTGGTTATATGTGTTTACAACTAACCTCCTTTCGTTCAACGCTAATTGATATGTTGTGATTCTGTAACTTCTCTTTCATATCAACCTCAAGAAATCAGCGATTCTATTTAAACGTTTGCCTTTTAAAAATCTCAACAAAAAGTTAATCGAAGGCTTTTTTGTCATGAAAACACATCAAATACTGATCGGAGTGAATTATGCATGAGAACCTCGGAAACCACTTTGGCAAATGATCTAACTAGTGAATAAGTCACTGTAGAACAGTTTGTCAAATGTAAAGAGTGAACAGTACCCGTAAGAATTTATCTGGCGTAAAATGATAACTGCTCACCCATATAATGTCTTCCCTAACGTCTAAATTTTCCCATCACGTATAAATGATTTACCTGCATATATTAAATACACGCCATTTATTGCTTTCGGGTCATCCAGTACCGTATGCAAATCCGACATTCACTTACCGGAAACTGTTCAGTTCAAACTATTAGAATATACCTGTGTGCACTCCACTACACAAACGCTTTCTACACCAGCTGATACTAGTCAGGGATACAGGACAGAATCTCTAACTTGTAACAATCGGTTTTAGTCCTTATCTCTCGGTCTTTGTACAACGTTACACGGTAAAGCAAGCGTGCAATGTAACAAGAACTTCTACATATGAAGATTGAGTGCACTAAAAGTCGAAATTGAAAAATAATGAAGTCAGTATAAGTCATATGGAAAATTTATTTTAATTCACTTGTACGGATAATGGCCAGGCCTTATTATACGGCCGGGGGTATATTGAGGAGAAATGCACCATCATACGCTGAGTGGGATGCCTCTCTATTGGTTTATTCATACGTGTTAATAGAATACAAATTCCTGACTGCGTGGGGTAAACGTATTGGAGTAGATTGGCCCAGATGTTCAATTCAAAATACCTCTCTACACTTTCCAAGCTCTGTGTTTGTTTATTTCATGCCCGTGAGTTTATTATTATTATCATGTTCGGTAACATCTCATGGGAGCATTTTCGAAGATAAGAGATAGTAGTTGCTTAGGATTATTCAACAAATTGTCACATTGCTAAAACATGTTAAACGCCCCTTTATTTCTTTTTTTATTCCTTAATGAATTTTGATTGTTAATCTTTAGCTGATACATGATCCCCATTAAGTATAATATTCCAAAATGTTTTATTAATGTTCTATCAAAAAAGTGATAGCCAATTGATAATTTTATTTCACTAATTTTGCCTCGTTTTTCATAAATTGCCAACTTTAATTTCTGCATACATTCTTTATAGCTTATTATCTGTTTAGGCTAGACCTACTCTTTTTGCCCTGAATCTATGATACAAAACTTTCAAAAATCCTATTCAAATATACACGCATGTCATTTGGTCTGTTCTGTTCAATATGGACTTACAACTATACCATTACCAGTTAACTACATTTCACCAATGTTGTAATACATATAATATAAAGCGTACTCATTGTAACATGTACACATTCTATACCAACTTAATTATAAAGATTAGTTCTTGTAACTAGTATATATGTTACACAGAAGTATTTACATTTGCATTTTAAGATTCAAATTGTTAAGATACGTATGTGGTGTTGGTATCATATTCGTTCCAAGTTCACGGCGTTGTTGGCGAACTATTTCATATACACAATATCTTTAATGTTTTGTCTCTGTGTTTCGTCGATGCAGAATGAATGATTTATCAAAAAATACATAGAAGTTAACCTACTTTGCTCCCACTTAAATTCATTTGTAAGCTTACAATTATCAAACCATATCAATAAGGAGAGAATCGAATATGGTCACCACGAAAGATACACGTAAAGGGTCAATTTATATATTGGTCAGCCGTTTAAAGACTCGTGAATTTGAACAGAAATAGAAACATATACGTCATTTGTAAGCATGGTGGGATTGAGTCCGAGCGACCATGGCGGAACATGTAAAGGGAGGGTCAGAAATACGGATAAACGATGTAACAACTAAACGAATTGTTGTGTTATAAAGTTTATCAGAGACAAATGTGACTTATCGCCATTTCAGTATATATGTCGCAGTATCGATAGAAATTATTACCTGAATTTAAGTGCTGAATTTCTAACACACGAATACAATCAATAATATCTATATAGTTCTCTTATTTTCGTCTTGTATAGCGCTTATTGATTATTCAACAAATTTTATTCAGCAATTGCAAACCTTACATACTAACATTAAAGTGTCATCATAGGAGTAGACACCCTAAACAATCCTTATATATCATAGGGGTAGACGCCCTAAACAGTCCTTATATATCATAGGGGTAGACACCCTAAACAGTCCATATATATCATAGGGGTAGACACCCTAAACAGTCCTTATATACCATAGGGGTAGACACCCTAAACAATCCTTATATACCATAGGGGTAGACACCCTAAACAATCCTTATATATCAGCTTACCTGTATAAAGTGATAATTATGTTTTCAATTATTAAACATTTCAACTATCAACTGAAATAATTTCTAATGCTGCAATTCATTACATGCATATCATTACAAGTTTGATACAGCTTTCATTGAATTTAAAAGCAAAAACTTTTCAAAACTGTTATATTGTTCGACAGTGTAAGCATATTTGACAGAGTGGAAATGTCACTTTTGGTACTGACCAATCAGAACGGTTCTTCCAAAGCCGCATGTTTTCCTTCAGATGCAGAAGAAGCGACATTAGAATAAGTGGTTGTTATGGTACAATTATGCTACATTCACTAATATATCTATCTAATAATAAAATCCCGAAATGATTTGGTGAGGTTAATTAATCGTTGTTGAATGTAGTTTTAATATGTAATCAATTGAAAAATTTAATTGCTTTCATTCGTTGAAAACTACGTATTTTTCCTGTTTTGGCAAAAGATACCGAACATTTTCTCTCATGTAACATATCGGTGTTCTGTCACACTCGCGGAATAAAACGAATCTCAAAGGGAAACCATTAAATATTCTGTATATATTAAACGTTTTATGCAAAACTGGTGACACTAACTGGATGTATTAAAAAAAGAAGTAATTGTAATACAATTTTGTTTTATAAAACATATCCCAAATATTGCACAAGTTTTCATAATTACATGCTATAAATATATTTTGTTTTTGTTTGTTGCCAAATTTATAAATATGAATTTATAAATGCATCCCCTTCAAAGTATCTTTTTTGTCTGTTTGATTTTATATGATGGTCGTTTTTTTAAAAAAATGCGATACGTGGCATCTTCTTGTTTCAATTTGCAAATTTATTCACACATCTATTTCAGAGGTTGTACATTATCAGAGACTAAAGAGTGTTTCCTCAATACACATTTTTTAAGTTCAATTTCTAAACGTTTTCCATAGCAAAAGAATTGTTTACTCTTAACATTAAAACAGCACCAAAAAAGGGTAATCTTTGGCCATAATATATGTATGGTTGCAATAAAAAGGATCATTAAACAAAATTTAAATGCAACAATTAAATAAAAGGGAAAAAAATATTTACGATCAAATTTATCCGAGAATGAGACAAATTTCGTTTTTAATTCCTAAAAATTATAATTATTTGATTAACAAAAAGAGTTATCAGTACTATTATCATTTTGTGCTGGTCTGATATTTGTTCGTGTCGTGACACAGTTAACAAGTCACCGGGTATCTGTACGGGATACTTCACAAACAAATCAGCTTATCATCAATCAAATACAAAACAAAAGTGTTAGAATGTTACCAAATGTTTACAATATGTCATAACAAAATGGAACGCTTCATAACAAATTTGTCTTAATAAATCCGGATAAAAATATGCGTCAGTTCCGCCAGAGTAACATAACCTTCTTGTAATTTTGTCCCCTAGGCCGTACAAATAACCCAACAATTTATTAACGACAATTAATTAAATACATCCTGTAGTTTCAACAACATAAGTCGTTAATTTTTAAAAAGTGCAATTTAATGCACCTTTTAATATAATATTAGTTTCAACCAAAACTATCACCTTCGTTGTCTATCTATAGTTTAATGTGTTCCTATCAGAATAGTCTACGATACGACCTATGCATGGTAGATTATAGTGTGGGAGGCTTACCTTCTATTCTGGTACCATGTCTTCACTTGGGTGTCTGTTAAGTTGAGTTTGGCGGCGAGTTCCATCCTATCCTGGACACTGAGATATTTCTGACGTTCGAATGTTTTTTCCAAACTGTTTAATTGGTGGTCAGTGAAAGCCGTGCGTGCCTTTCGGGCCTTCTTTGGTTTCATTAATCCAGTTACAGAATCTGTTTGCTGATCCGACGATCCGTCTTCCTTTTTATCTAAAAGAAAAACATGAACAACACTCTCCGTTATATTTTGTTTTATTAAACTATCTTTCAACAAATGTCTGTCATCACAATATCTATTTGGTAGGAATTAATTTTTGAGTAAGAGATCAAATATATGAGATAAATGTATCTGGATTAGAAACGTTAATAGGTCGATGCTGTTTATTGCTGAGTCGGATTAGAATATACTTAATTCCTATTGTTTGACATAATGACCAAATTAGTAAGATAACAATGAGTTTATATAAATCATAAGTACGGTTTATCATTACTGTTTGATCGACTTTTTTGTATTTATTTTGTATTAGTTATTCTTTTATTGTTATTTATACCTAAATGCGTTTGATATAACATTAAAACAAAATTCAATTCTATATCTTTTCATCATTATTTTTTTCTTGAATTTTTCTCATGAACTTTACAATAACTGTACAAGTTTACGGCGTACCTTTATCTTTCTAAAGAATGTAAAACAAAATACAGATATTATGATTCATAATCAAAATGATTGTTATACAAAGTTATACACAATTTGTCATCTCCAGAAAAGAATACTTATTTAAAAGAATTTTTTTTAAAGTTAGAATACTGGTCAAATGAATGTGCATATTGAAAAGTCTGACTCTGAGAAACAGCATATCATTTTTTTATTTAATTTTTCAACATTGTTACATTGGAACATTGTATTTAATTCGATGTTAGAGTATTTCAGTTAGCTTTTATTTCGAGAACATAATGCAGTTTACACTTCACTCACACACGTAATAAGCAATTCAGATGTCTACTATCTGTCATTTTTAATGAGAGGTATGTATTGTCTTACAATGTAGCTAAAAGATAAACAGACCGGTGTATATAGGTATCCAGTTCGCCATTACATTATTATAATTAATATGTATCATGGGAAATTACACTAAATAATCAGTCAAAGTTATTAATATAATTTTTAATATCTCCAGATACACTTCACCGTATCAATGAACTTGGACCTCCATGTGCAGAACCAACACGACGCAAGCAAATCTGTTCTCGGCAAACGTGACAATTCCGGGGTTAAGCTTCCTATATTTATACGCCCTCAATTTACTTTTTCTAAATCTTTCTATTTAGCAGAGGGAACTTTTTCATGAACTCCGTTAGTAAAAGCTGCCAGAAGACTTAATTAAAACCGTACTATAATGAAGCTGGGTAAGCGGATTCACCTGGGTTACAAAACTCTTTGACAAGAGCTGTCTTGTAGGACCGCCTTCGATAGTAAGGAAACTGTTTGCATGCCAAAAGTGTTTGTTGACTGTCAAACACACGAACAATAGCTCCAATGTATGATCATCGCAAATTTGTTCCTATTCCAGGGCCAGTCGTGTGTTATCATAACTAAAACATCTGGGTGGGCAAGTTTTTTTTTTCCGGGTGGAAATACGGCGGACTAAATAGAGTTAAATGGATTAAAGTCGTACACAGTGAGAGGTCTATTGCTGTTCAGATCGGAGCAACTATGCTCATCTTTGTTGCATCGTACATGGATCAGGTTTCTATTTCAATACTCAATTTCAACCCAACGATGAAGCCGGGAAGATATTCTTCATATCATATTTCAAATTGTGTCTTCTTTCTGTGACATTTATGTTCCATTTATGCAAACTAGACAACACGCTGAAATAAATTATACCCGAACTGCTGGCTGTTGTCCGCTTAGAAAAAAAACACAGATGGGTGTTCCGACATATTTTGCTCTATACTGTATACTGACATGGTTGTTATACAATACAGCTGTTAACACCATCAATGTAATCGTTTAACGTTTTTAGAAAAAGAAGTGAAAAATGAATAAATAAATAAAATGAATAAATAAATAACTTCTTGATGTAATATCAACCATTTTTAAAACACTCTCAGGTTATATTGTTTTGTATCTGGAAGGAAAATAGATTAAATAAAAACTAAATCAAATCGCTATAGTTTATTTATTTAGCTGAAAGTCCACTTAAATATATCAACACAATAAACGCACACATGCCTTCATCGATATTACACATTTTACTATGTCACGGTATTACACATAATCATTGGAAATTGTTATCATTGATAATTAAAATTTAGAATTGAAACATACTAAAATAATTTAGATTTTGCTTCGAAAAATCAAAATAGGAGCTACAGAATATTAATAGCTATTTAGTAAACGACATCTACGAAGAATTGTATGTATCTTATTTCTCGAAAGGCAATTCTAAATAAAAAAAAATACAACATCACATATTGATAAAATAATATTCTAAAAAGAAAATACACTTGATAAAAAAACAAATATAATGACATAAGTATAAGTTATGTAAATACATGGCAGCAAACGATAATGTTTACTACGCATGACCTTGTAGCATTGTCTATTAATTAGCCCTGGAAACTACAAAATCTACAAACAAAAACCTTTGTTGCATGATACCTCTACGTTTCTTTGTTTGTCCATTGTCTTAAAGGGGTAAATAATTAATCTCTCCAAGCCAAGGCGCAAAATGAAAGCCCTTTTTATTGATTCTACGCATACTGAGCTAGCCGGTGAAATGCCAAAACTAGCAGTACTGGGTTCACGACCAACAAACGCTATAAGAACATGCTTTACTATTGATCATCACGGACAATCTAGCAATGTGTTTTCATTAAACAGTCCAAATGACTAACATCAATACGGGGAAAAAACCCAACAGATACAAAATGCATCATCAATTATGTAATTGTATCGAGAAATATGCAACCCCTTCGCTGTGTTTGCACATAATCATAATTATGTATAGGCTATATTATATAAAAAAAATCGTATTGGTTTCATGGCTTAGTCTTGTAATTAATCGAGTAACGTATTATATCGTTAATTTAGCTAATGCAGAGACGATTAACGCCTCCGTCAAGTGGCGTGTCCAACATTTGCCAGGAGGGCATGGAAACGCCAATGTCGGGATTGCGACCTTCCTTATTTACCACCAGTGGAATTTGCTGTCATGCACAACAGCGTGCGTGTTTCGTGCATAAACTAACACCTCTTCTCGTGGCAATTATTTTGTTTATGGTGTGTTTTACTCTGTTGCATAAGTTGATAAAATATTGCCATCATACCATGTTTGGCTATTCGTGATTTCTTGTCTTTCTTTTAGTACTTTTTTTATTCTACCTCATAATGGCATATTCATGATCACTAAAATATGTAATGAAGGCAGAATATAATAACAGTACGTTAATAATTATTAATCTTCTTTTTTCCTATTAATACATAAAGAAGGGGTTAATGCTTCATAAAAACAAGAACTTTTTTCCGATTGAAAACAGGTTAAATCAATGCGAACTGCAATTAATAAATTGTGTTAATATTTAGTTTTCCTGTAATGATTTAGCATTCGCGTTGTTTATGTCTGAAATTGGAAAGCAAACATGTGCTTATGTTTACCTTTTGACTTAAATTACGTTAATATTATATATTTTGGTGCGTACAATTCGAATCCACATATTCGTCGTATGTTGTTCAATAATTATAAGAGTAGTAGCCAGCAGTACCATTGTGAAATACAATTGCAAATAATGTCAAAAGGCGAATCATTTACGGTACGTTATCTGCCACTGCTATCGGGCTGATGTATAAGATGATTACATAATGCGAACGTTATATATATATAATATAGCAACAGAAGTATTATTTATTTTATTCACAATAGTACATTTTATAAAGTCAAATGAAGATATTAACATTTTTAAATGATATATATTTTTATAATTTATGTTTACATCAAACTAGTTATCAACAAGTTATGTATCTGTAAAATATAAAAGTTATTATAAAATCGTCATTTAAATCTTTAGTTGTTATATTTCAATTATATTCACGTGATGCCACTATTTAGTGTTTTATTGGTCGATAACTGATATTGATGTGTTTTCGTACGTGGACTATTGTACAACAACTGTATCGAAAGGTAATGTCGGGCGAATGTTGAACGAAGGGATAATGAACTCCAATCTTTTAAATGTGCTGAAACGACTTCTCTACTTAACATATAATGAGAATTTGATACCATATTCGACAACACTCTTCTCCATCAAAATCTGATCTCTCAGAGAACCTCATCTGTTATTTTGTAAACACTAAATTACCCGTTATTTTCAACCCATTATCCACATATACAATTACTAATGGAGGGGAAATCCTTTATCCATGGTATATGTTCGCACAAAGACTTGAAACTAATGTGTCAAATATTGGATAGTATGACCGACACGAAAAGCTGTATAAAATAAACATGTTTTCACTCTCTGAATTGTAAAAAATGTTTACGAAGAGATGTGTTACATCCTGAAGATAAAAGACGAATATATCTTCTCGAAATGTTTTATATTTATATAATATACATTGAACGGCTATAAATCTATATTAGAGTTAAATACTCAGACAATGACACTCTGTGTATATAAGTATGAAATACGATGCTGATTTGAAACTGGAATCGTTTTAATACTTATTTCCTCCGATTTCTTTTCTCTCTGTCATATTTTAATTTAAGAAAGATGTATAATGTACATAACACGATCAGTTAAAAAATAATAAATCCTGATGTAAAGAATTATAAAACAAAAGAAAAAACATACAACTTCCTTAATGTTTAAATTCAAAGCAATAAGGTAATACCTATACCGGTGATTTACGCCCTGATAATGTATTAATTAAGTAGCTTTAGTTGATTGTACTTTAAAAAAAACAAATGAGACTACACATCATATACAGAGAAGTAACATGTAATATTAAGGCAGATTTATTTTTCAATTTGCAAGTGTAAATAATCTATTCTTATTTTAATAGTTAAGTTAAGCAATACGCATACTAAGTTGTCAGAAATCAAACATTTTAATTCTGTTATTTAAATGTATAAGTAATGAACGTTACTCAGTTTATTTATAATAAACATTAAAGGATAAGATGTTTTACAGCGTGTGTGACAGTACTGTTAATTTAAGAGAGTGCCCTAATTTTCTTTTTATCATTCACAAGTTGTTGCCTAAGCTGGTAATAATACGCCAGAATTCTCCTCTATTTTTGATACGCCGTTTTTTCATTCATTTATAAATACCATTGACATTTATTTTAAGACACAACAAAAGATGAAATAGTATAAAAAAATCATTCAACGATGAATTAGTTGATGGTGTAAGCATATAATAAAACAAATGAAAAATAAAACATTTTTTAAAATAAATAACATATTCATTCTGTTTTGTTAGACGCAAATTAAGAAAAAACGAAATATCGATAAATGGTTTATGTTTATAAAAAATTATTATCACTGTGACAGAGACAGGGAATCAATTAATTTGTTCGAACAACTATCAGAAGAGAATGGATATAGAAGATGAATGCAGTTACTCTCATAAAACGTGTATCATAAGGAAATGGACTCTGACAATATTGAAACAATATAACCAATGACGTTTGAATGAATATGAAAAATACCTTCTAATATATCTGTACTAGCATCATCACTATCATCTTCATCTTCGTCTTTTTCATTGACTGTGTCATTGCGATAGTCATCAGCCTGTCCGGTATTACCCAGAGATGCAAAGTTTACAAAATTGTGTTTAGCAATGGCCTCAGTGTTAAGGGTACTATGTGAAGATAGGTATCGACTTGGCACTCTTAAAGGTCGAAATGCCGAGAATGTCTGTGTCCGTTCTCGATGTCCCTCTGATAAAATGTCTGTGATGAAAAACGATCTCCTCGGAGGACTTACTAACGGTCCATTTGTATCACTGAGTCTTGTATGTGGTTCTGGTATTTTAGAATCCGAAGAAAGCTCCTGTCGGTCAATGACCGACGGCATAGAAACACGGTCCATGTCACTAAGAGCATCGATGTTTTTGCAACCTCTTTCATTTTCAGAGTCCGATTTATCAGAAAGACATTCAGCATCATCATCTACTCTTGGTATTGGGGATGGTGTTAACGAGGAATTCACTGCGTCCACTGAGGAAGCCATGCGGTCGCCTTTTATCAGGTTAAGTGTCATTATGATCCTTTTTTTTATATAAATAAGTAAATAAATACGGTTACATTAATAAAAAACCTATACCAGTAAAACCAAGCGTTGACAAATTGGGTTCGTCCCAGACTGAGTGAGCAGCTTCGATGTATATCGCGTTATCTACATGTTATTTAACTCAACACTGTTGATCCCTATTACAATTAATAAAAATAAAATGTAACGTCCATCCAACTAAGCTCAACTAGTCCAGGTAGTCAATGTGTTCATCGTTTCCGTATATGTGAGGAGAGTGTCTTGTCATCCACACAGCGTAGGTAGGAAGCAATATACCCACACTTGATCGACGACAATGCTACATATAATTGTAACCACTAGGCGTGAATGGTTTCCCCTCAGACATCGATTGTCCGCTACAAAGACTTGACAGATGAAGCGAAGACGACTAAAAGTCAGTAGTTATGAAAAATGCACAATAGTCGATGTGTACTCTTCTATACAGCGCGTCCAATTACGCGATCTCTGATCTATATCCGTACGTTGATCGGGTGAAGTACACTCAGTTAACAGTAAGCCTAAGGATTACATGGTCAAGAAGGGCAGGTATTTGTGACCACCGGGAGATTTTCTCTTTCAACTGACTCGTTTTTTTTCTCTTTCTTTTATGTCTGTATAATTGTAAATTTTATAAATCGATTTAGCATTTAATTTAATCTTCACCTGTGTCTAGCTTCAGCGTTCGGTATATAGCCATGCTGTATCTTTTGACCAATCAGACACGACCTTACAACGAGTGGGCGGGGTTATCGACACCCGCGTGTGAACTTGTGAGTGTGATTATGAATAGTTATATCACAGATCGGAAGCAATAAATGTCGCAGCCATAGTTCACTCAACGGGAACAAATTACATGTAACATTCATTGTTAACAGCAAACAGATTTATACCACGATAACAAGATTAATTCATAGTTTGATTTATTTAAACAATGACAGAAATGACTGCTTTTCGAAATGAGAGACGAATTAGATTCCGTTATGTGAAGAGCTGGCTGTCACTTCTTTACAACTACCCAAGGCACCACCAGAGTGTGTTTTGAATTAAGGAAATTGCAAAGCTCCGAACGGGGGAGATGACTTATCTGGACATCGCCTTTTATCTACGAAATGTGTCAGGCTGATGTATACAATTGTATAGATAGATTTCCTGAGGTTTTACAAACGTTATGAAATCATAACATTATAATTATACAAATTGATGCTTTATTATTAATAACAAATTAATTTAAAACGATAACGAATACACTTATATTTCCAATATAAGCGATAAAATAGTATGTCATTAAAATAGTCATGGCGTTTTTTTTATAAGCCTTTTTCACTTTTTCTTCATCAAAAGAATGTGTCATTTCAATCACAACTGTAATTAAGTGTGGCGTAAAAAAATTGTAGTTGAATTTGTGAATTGCATAATAATTATCTTTTTATCTTTTTATAATCAATATATTTAAATACAAATCATAAACTTTATTGTAATTTTCCTGTATGTATACATTTCATAGAATTTTTTTTGTTGCAATTGACATGCAACGAAATATATTGTCCAGAAAAGGCAATATATCTATTTATCCATTTATTTATTATATGTGAAAAAATCTTTAGTCAATTCGATAGCATGTTTTAAGTGTGTAAGAATACTTATGTATGGTAGATGAACTAAAGATATAGTATTATATTAATTAATTAGAATATACTCAAAAATCTACTGAAATGCTTTCTAATATTTTTGTTAATATTTAATCTTTTGAGTCTACATAAATTTATATAGCGTCGAAACAAGTCGTAAATACTAAGACAAATATCGCCTCGACATTGTGATTGTATGTTAAATTAAATATGACAACAAATGAACATTTGTTTTGTCTTATAAATATTTTGTCTTCATTAACACTATACTGCAGATAGAAAAACCTAACGTGAATTTCTGTATTGATAAAAACCATTAACTGATAATGAATACCTCTCATTTTTTTAGCATTACACCGCGTATCCTATCTGAAAATTCCTTATAAATTAAATGAGGCACAAAATTATTTGAAACATTTTCGGAGTTTACAATCCTTTGAAAGAGCTACGATACCATTATCTTAATAAAGAGACAACAACATAATTTATACATAAAACGTTGAATGGAGAAAGATGTACGCTTATGATAAGTTAATAATACAAAAAACATAACACGATTACCGGGAATAAATACTGTGAGATGTATTTCAAAACCGTTACCGTTAATAATATAAACCCAGGAAAGAAAGCGCCATACATTAAAAAGAATGTTGTGGTGGATTTAATTAGGACGTACTTTAGGAAGGCTGTTGTATATCTGAGTGTGACGGTATCGAAGCACACCTACACTGATAGTGATAACTAGTAAAACAAACGATTGAGGTTCATATTGACTCATAGACTAATTAATTAACAAGGACAGTGCTCGCCTTCTTCCCCGTATGATTACTTCATACATACAATATTGGGTCGTTTGCCAACGGCAGTAACATAAATGAGGAATACACAATTGAAGATGTAAAAACAGTAATTAGCATTTAATCATTAACAACATATTCAAAATATTCTTTAGAAAGGCATTCAGAAATAAAATTATAAAAATCAAATAAGATAATGATAGTATATAGTTTATCTCTGTACTGTTAGGTGAAGGCAGAACACGGAATAATAGAGAATACCAGCTTAACGTGCTGTTAGTAATGGTACTATATTAAAACTAATAATATTAATATGTGAAATATTAATCCGTTCGTGTGTATTAACTTGTTTAAATCTAATGTGTGAAATGTGCGGGGAGCATGCCATAAATTTGAATATCCTCGAAAGATAGTTTGTTTATACTTAATTTATATTTATTTTCACTCAAGTCAAGAATATTCAAAAGCATTGTCAGCTGCAAGTACCTGATTTAATTTAGTAGTTAACGTTATAAACCTCGTCTACTCGAAGAGTATTAATTACAATAGTAACCAACGAGGTTATGTTATTTGTCACTATCATAATAATAATAATAATAATAATAATATCTTTTATTTATCCAGGGATACTTATTTAGACATGTCTAATTTACAATATGGCCCTGCATCAATATATTTACAGATATCACAGAAAACACCCATAAACTACATAAAAGACATTTGCAGATTAAATTACGTGTATATTAAACACACATACAATACTTATTTAAAAAGTATATTGTTATATCATAAAGTAAGTACCAAACTAAAGGTTTGAGAAGAAATCCTGTAGGTATTTGCGTTTAAAAGCAGCAACACTACACGCGTTTTCTAATATTTACATTCAATCCATTCAATAAAACAGAACATGTGTACACAAATGAACGTTTAAAATAATTAGTTCTAGCAGTGGGAATATAAAGCTTGTTGGAAACTGATGACCTTGTATTTCTAAAACTGATATCCTTGCCATAGGTAAACATATTACTTAAAACACTTGGAGTATCCCCATGTAAAATATTGTAAGCCAGAACTGCTTTCCTAAAAAAAAAAATCTGCTATTGGCAGCCACTTTAACTGTTTAAAAAGCAAAATGGAAGGGGTAAAAACGTCTCTTATATTCAACAAATCTCTAGCTGCTCTTTTCTGAAGTTTGGAGATTTTATGAATATACAATTTGTTACTAGCCTCACTCCAGATAACAGAACAATAGATAAAATGTGGAAAAACTATACTTTGATATACTTTACTGAGAACATCATTAGACATGAAAGGTCGTAACCTTTTCTGAACACCAATGTGTTTCGAAATTTTCTTTGATATGTAATCAATATGGTCTTTCCAAGACAGACAACAGTCGACGAAAACACCAAGGAGTTTAAACGTAACACGTCACTTACATGCGTTTGATGTAATAGAATATTTATTAGTATGCATTGTCTATAACCTGAACCTGATGTTTACATAGCACTGGATATCATGAGGACGACACTCTCGTTACTGCCTGTATGTATTAATCGGACGGAAAGGCTGCTATCGGTTAGGATGATAACGTTTATGTAAAACTCACATGTTAATAAATCCGTGCTATAACAGATATAATAACAAAACGTTATTGGTATGATTCAGAGAAACATATTTGAATTACCTCTGTATTGCCCAAAGCCATACATTTGCAATTTGCTTAAGGTACATGAAACCATACAATGATAATTTTGTTATATTTTAGTAATTGGTAGTGTGAACATTTTTGTATTGCCTTTCTTGAGATTACCGTATAATCAGAGCTGATTTCTGATAACTGGAATAATACATATTGCATTTGTTGCTTACAGCAAAAATTGAATTACAAAATCACATTTTTGAGGTTGAAGAATCACCAGCGACTTTTCTTGTATGCGTAGATTATACAGGATAAATATAAAGTGTATGTGGTACTCCTCTAATCACCTAAATCTGCATTGACTCCAACAACCTAAGATCTATTATCTTGAGGCTCTTCGGGGAAACATTTATCAACATATTGATTTTATTTGTATCGATTTGATGGATGAACGAAAGCCGACAGATCTACCAGTATGTTACTGATAAAAGTATCCTATGTAGGTAAACAACAAGCCAGCTCCCTTTCTGTGAGGTCTGTTTTCAATCGATAATGAATTGAATAATTAGTTACATTTTATCGCTAATAATGTATATAAAATCGTTTAAGGGCCTGCAATTATTTGACTTTCGGATTTCGCCTAAACAATAGTGGTTTTCATTGTTACAGTGTATCAAACATTTAATCTCACAAAAACTCTAAAATAACTGAAATGGGGAGCTTCACAATTCTTCTTTAATCATATAACGGGAAGTACTTACGATGAGCTTTTTTTTGCGGCTATTACTATTAACATCATTTCAACGACTAAATCGTTGTATAATGCTGAAACTGGAGAACACATATTTCGTTCAATAATGGGCATTAAAGCTGCGTTAATTTGCTGACGTTTTTGTAATTAACAAACTTACATTAGTCACTAATAATAGGATACAACTTGGTAAAATGTCGCGTATGTTATACTCTATTAATATAATTATATATAATATAAGCAGTTATAGAAAATGCTTCCAATAAGCTACATCGATCGCTCCAACGTTAGTTCGTTTGCGGTATCAAAACAAATTTGAGAATTGTTAAATTCTAATTTACATTGTAAAAGTTTTAGTAAACCTTATTAATTGACTTAGCTGATATCCAACTGTAAGTGTTTGACCTTGTTCCTTTTATACTTTACCTGGCTTGCGTGTCAACTTGCACTTGCGATTTAGTCAGAATGCTCCGTGTTACAAACGTGCTGCAGATACCAATACATTATGCAAAACCTCGGAAGCCGTAGCATCATCTAAATTCCTCTTTTTCTTACATTCTGGAGATAGGCATAATGACTGTACATATCTGATGATGTGATTCTACTGATTTGCTACCTTGTGTAGGTCACGTGAACAAGCCACAGTATTTATATTTAAAACATCTTAAAACATTTCTTAGAACTTTTTAAAGATAACTTGTTTTGAGATTATTGGGGATATCATTATGATGTTTCTGATGTGATCCAATAGCCATGAGGCGAGTACCTTG